CCCTAATTCTAAAATAAAACAAAATTAGCCAAAAATAATAAAAAATAAAATAAATAAGAGACAAAATTAGCTAAGCAGAGCTCCCCTGTGCCCCCCAGCATCTATCTCTCCCCTGTGCAAAATTCTTCGGTAGGTCGCCATTGCGATGGGTGTTGCTATCCCCCGGGCGTGGAGGGACAGTCACGTGATACAGTTGACGTATACTTCAAAACTTAACAGTAACAATAACCCTAACTCCAACACTAACCCTAACACTAAATATCTATATATCGGATATCTATATATAGGGGTGTCATCCACAAAAATTAATCTATGGTGTGGGGACAGATATCATGATGCAAAAACCCTAACCCTAACCCTAACCCTAACCGGGTAACCCTACCCCTAACCCTGGGGTCTGCCCACTTGACCGAAGGCCCGCGAGACCGAAGGACCACGAGACCGAAGGCTCACGAGACCGAACCACGTTCCGCTGCCCCTACTACATGTATAAATAATAATGATAATTGGATTCTTATATAGCGCATTATACTAACAGAAGTCTCTATGCGCTTTACAAAAAGAATGTACTAAAATTTTAGAAGATAAACAGATACATGTAAATACGTTCAAACTGGAGCCGGGCAGGTACGTGACAGCACGTGTGCATCGTCAAATCGGATCTACATGCTTCACTTCGCTCGCAGCATCGCGCCACGATTCCCAGCTATGCTAATGTATGGGCAAATGGCGCTGCGACATCAGTCGCCGTTGACTGTCAAGCTAATATTCTTCGGCCGTTCTTATACGTTCAAACTGGAGCCGGGTAGGCTGACAGCGCGTGTGCATGGTAAAATCGGATCTACATGCTTCACTTCGCTCGCAGCACCGCGCCACGAGTCCCAGCTATGCTAATGTATGGGCAAATGGCGCTCTGACGTCGGTCTCCGTTGACTTCCAAGATAATATTCCTCGGCCGTTCTTATACGTTCAAACTGGAGCCGGGCAGGGCGACAGCACGTGTGCTTGGTAAAATCTCATCTATACTATTCACTTTGCTTGCAGCATCACGTCATGAGTTCTCTGCTATGCTAATGTACATGAAAAAGAGGCTACGACGTCGGTCGCCGTTGACTGCCAAGAGAATTGTCTTCGGCCGTTCTTATACGTTCAAAGTGGAGCCAGTCAGGCCGACGGCACTTGATGTAAAATATTCGCTTTGCTCGCAGCATCACGCCCTGGGTTCCGCTCTATGCCGATGTTTATGTACATGAAGATGACGCTCGTGCGTCGGTCACCGTTGACTGTCAAGATAATGTTCTTCGGCGTTCAAATGCGTTTAAGGTGGAGCCGAGCGGGCCGACAGCACGTGTGCTTGGTAAAATTCGATCTATAATATTCACATTGCTCGCAGCATCACGCGTCCTGGGTTCCCCGCTATGCTAATGTACATGACAAAGTGTTCCGACGTCGATCGCCGTTGCCTGCCAAGAGAATTTTCTACGGCCATTCTTATACCTTCAAAGTGGAGCCAGGCAGGCCGACTAGAGAGAGAGAGAGAGAGGGTGGGAATCTGGGAAGAGAGCAATGATAAGGAGGTAAGTGAGATGGGACAACAAGATAGAAGTAAAAAAATGAAAGGGAAAGGGAGCATACAGATGGAAAGGAGAGGGGGAGGAGGAAGGAAAGATGACAGATCAGGAGAGCGAGTGAAGATGGAGGAGAGGGAGAAAGAGATAGAAATGTGAGGGTGGGGAGGAGGAAGGAAAAGGAGGAGAGGAGGGCAGAGATTGGAGGGTCAGTGGTAAGGGAGAAGAGAGCGAATGAGAGTGAGAGAAAGCGAGAGCAAGAGAGAGCCAGAAAGAGAGACAGAGAGAGAGAGAGAGAGAGAGCGAAAAAGCGCGCGCGCGAGAGAGAGAGAGAGATAAAGAGACCACAGCTGTATTTTCACAGATCCGGCCAGTTGAAGCTGTCAGTGTGTTCTGCAGTACATCCACTCCACGTACTTTACTCGGCTGGCATATTTGATCGCTACATAATACACTGGCCTTTGGCCTTTATGCTATCACGACGACTGCAACGTTGTCTAGTTCGGCGAGCCTGTATGTCTGCTTATGGTTAATTTATATTTATCATCGTGGTTCATTATAGCGGTGGTTGAAATGGCAAAGCTTCGCATAACCTGCCGAGATTTGATTCATTAGAATTGTCCATTCAAGAAATGTCTGCAACCGAGCAAAGTGCCAAGTCAGTTATTTCCCGTGTGCACATGCTACACGCACGCGAAATTCATGTCAAAATAAAAGTGTAGCCATCGAAATAATTTACGAACCGGATCGTGTGAGGTTCAACCCGTGTACAATACGTACGCATGGATAAAAAAGTATGTGCACGAGAGAGAGGGGAGGGAGAGATAAATGGATAGCGAGAGATCGCGAGAGGGAGAGAGAGGTGAAGCACAAGTAAAGGGAAAAGAGGGATGGAGGAAGTAAGGAAGGGAGCGGGAGGGAGGGAGTGGGAGCAAAGTGATGGCAGCGGGTGACTGGCAAGGGAAAACAAATTGATGAATGGACAGATGGACAAACAGACAGCCAGACAGACAGACACAGACAGACAGACACACACAGGCAAACCAACAGACAGACAGACGGGTGGACAGAGATAGATGGACAATGATATAAATAGATACTGTATATAATCATTTTTTACCTAGATCATATATATGATAAAAGTTGAAACTGATTTAAAAGTTCCTAATTAAATGTGATGACCACGTCGGAGTCTCAAGTTGACTGTACGTTTTTTTACGAATCTTCTTCTGAAATTATTCACATGCACCCTCTATCAAATTCTAACCTGATTAACTTAGCATAACCTAAAACTAATTAGTTGTAGAGTGCTATCCCTATGTCTCCTTTTGGGTTAGTATCACGCTGGTAGTAAAGTTCTTATAAAAACTGAAAGCAGTTATTTATTCATGCTTACTTAATGCAACACACCTGCTGAGCTGATCTAAGGGTGCATTATGCCACGCAGTAAAAAAGCCTTTAAACTAAAGAAAATAAATATGTTATGGCATAATATTGAGCATCTGTGGTTATTTTGTACTGTTCACACTCCAATTATGTTAGATCGACAAGCTGATATTTTTAACAAAAACACGTTTGATTGTAAGTAAGCAAACGAAACAACATGTAGGGTTACGTTTAGTTCAAAAACCATGGTAAATACTATTAATTAGGGCTCCTACTGCATCTAAAACCTAATTATTATATTATAAGATGACCTGGAGGGATGCCAAATCTTCTTTTCATGCATCATCCATTTTCGTTATTCATCATAAAAAATGCGATGAATTAGTTATGAGAACTTGTTACACATTTATCATCATATTTTGAAACTTCTAATAAATCTGCCAAATTTTGCAGCACATACAGATATCCATGATTTATTGCCATGAATCTATGTATACAAACAGGGTTCGTGATTTAGCAGACCAAAATTTGGATACGATCAACTGCCTTCAACAGCAGCACTTTGATGCCATCTGTTGGCAGAAAACTAAAAAATAAGTAACATGCTTGTGTTTTTGCTGACAAATGACTCCGACTACACACATGACCTCGTATATGACATATCTAATAATGAAAAGAGTAAAGATGGTGAACTATAACTTGAAAATATAATTATTATCGTCGATTAGTTAGAATAAAATTACAAAAAAGATTCAATACTGTACAAAAACATAAAGGTATAGAGTAACAATATTAAATGAGGCTAATAACTCTATGCCTTTTCAGCTTATCTGATACAACCTCTGGATTATCGATTTGTATCATCAAAATCACCACATAAAAATTATATACAAGCGTAACCAAATCGTACAGGGACCTTGATCTAATTCCATCGATCAAAGTTAATACTCTGCCTAAATGGTTTTCTACCTTTCTTTAGCCACATCAGAAATACCAAATACGTGTCACTAAGCTCGCTCCACGCTCTAGCCATAATTAGACTGCAAAGAAACATACAAAAAACGAGGTAACTTTTTCATGCATTGATACCACCATCAGCTGTCATCGAGTGGGTACACGTAGACCCTATTCCCTGTTTTACACCTGAACTCTGACACAAGCATCGTGAAGCTGTCACCATGATCTCTCTGCTGTCCCAGCATCAGTTTCTGAAAGGATATATAGCTTACTGGCTTTACTATACTTCACCATGTCAGGCAGGGGCAAAAGAGAAAGGGAAATTTATGGATGCAAGACCTCATTATTAAAACCTGTTTTGCAGGACTAAGTAGGTGAAGTTCACGAATGTTTGTAAAAACAATAGAAAGTACAACAGACTGGGATAACCACCATATCGTATAACTTGGGTTTTATTTACCAATAATAACTAAGTGAAAAGAGGTTAGATCTAATCAGTACATGTCTCACTATGCACTGTTTACATCTACATAAAATTCATTATCAAATCATTCTTCATTTGACTTTGGTGCACACAACTTTGAAGAATCACAAATTCTCACTACTCAATGAAATGGAAATGTGAATGTGACTACTTCATTATTTATATATACTTACATTAAAGCATGTGATGGTCTCGGCAGCGACGCTTTCTGTCAAGTCTCCAACGCACCATCCAACACTCATGTGAAATGAAGGTTGCTGAAAGGGATAGAAAACTGAAAATCTACAGTACTCACCGATCGGTATTAATTAAACACACGACGGAGAGAGAGCGTATGGCGATTGGCACTGGCGATCTCAATTCTGGATATACGTGAACATACTGCGTTTGCTGGCAAGCATATGTGAAGCATTAGGGCGTTGTAGATGTTCACAGATCAAGTTTCGAAAGTTTTGTCTGATTCGTCTGCCAATTACTCTCAACGACAAGCATTGCGGTGGAACGGTAATAGCCACTTCATTATATTTTAAGGCACAGGTTTTTTGTCTCTTGTTACAAACTAATGCAATTGGCATCCTTACTTTGTGCCGTCATCGCCAATTACTGCCCTTCAGCCCGATGTGTATGCCATACAAGTACTAATGACACATGCTTGGAACTCAAAAAGCAAACTGTGAATAAGCATCGGGAAAAAATGACCAAGGACATGCATAGGTACACTACTATTAAGCACTATTTTAAGCACATTTAAATTACATCACGAATCTGCTTGTAAATCCATCTAAAAGTATGCAATTATACTGACTGATAAAAAACAAAGATATCTTCCGAATATGCTGGCTAATATGAACGTGTACCAGATAGAATTTCGTCAAATGGAAGTCCTGCATGACGGCATCGGTGTGTGCGATAATATTACACAGATCGCTATGCCCAAATCCAACTTTCAACCCTAGAAATGACCTACAGAATAACAAATACATATTAATAAATTTGTTGCTGAAAAAAGTATTACATAGAAAAATTCCACAAGCATATATGTGTGCATTTTTAAATGTCCAAATATTATATACTAAATTGCAATCGGGTGACTCATTTAAATAATATACTATCATCAGGAGCTAATAATGACCAAATTTGTCATTATTAGCTCCTGCTATCATGTGATTGCTCAGTATAGATAGTCAATATTGATATCAAAATAGTCCCACCAGAGAATTAAAAAAATCCTACCTACCGTGTCTTCTCATCATTTGTGTACAGCTCTACACCTTCAAACGTTATAATAAAGCTTTTAACAAATTCCAATTGCGTCTTGATTGAATCTGTGAAAGGCTCAATGCAATGATGAGCCAATACCACTGTCCGAGAAACACTGATGTGAAAATCGTCTACACACTGCCAGTCACTTCCGGTGAACTCTCTTGCAGCCTTTACTAGCTTTCTCACTAGGTTGCCAAGATGCTTATCGACAGTGACTGTATAAAAATATATACAGAATATCACATCACAGATTCTATGCATCAATGCACAGAATGATACCAATTATGATAACCAATCATAAGTTGCCATGCTATCATTCTAATAATAAATGTAAATTGTTTTATTCAGTATGAAATCATTTGAAATTTCCCCAGAAGTGTTTTGAACAAATGTTAATTTCTTTCACTGGAAATTGCAGTTATCTTAATGTGTGTAATGAGGTTTTACTAACCTGGTACAAAGATATACGTTGCCCAGTTGCCGCGCACATGGGCAAACGAGCGGACTCTACCACCATGCATCTCTGAAGTATCGTTCTTATCCTCATCTTTATTGTACAAACCAAGAACAACCTCAGGAAGGGGTAATCTTTATTAAACAGAAAGGTAAACAACAGTTACAATAAGGTATTTATTATTTTGGACACAATCCTAAAGAAAGCCAACATAACATATATTACTATGCAAAGGTCTAACTGGCATTGAACCTACAATTTATGCACATAGTTATGACTATTGGGCTGAAACATCACACAAATAATAGCTTTGAACGATTAAAATCAGTAAAATGATATTTGATTGGGTGCAAGTACACAACTCAATTGCACTCATCCGGTTGTCACAGAGCTATAGTACTACTAGAGCTAGTAGTGAGATAGCTCCAAGAAACGGTCCTTGCTAGGGTTAGGAGACCTAACGTGGCTGTGTATATTGACGTTAGTCACACAGCCTAGTTGGGTTAGCAGTGTTGTAGGTCTCGAGGCCGGCTCTTGGCCTCAAGACCGGCCTCGAGACCGTTTTCCTTGGTCTCGGTCTCGGTCTTGGCCTCGGAGTCGGAGTGCAATGACTCGGACTTGGACTCGGACTCGAGCCCTCCGGATTCGAGGACTCGGGTCGAGGCCACTACATACATAGTACACAACTGTACATATTGTAACACACAGTTTACAATAATTTAAAACTAAAACTCCTAGGTTTTCTAGATACATGGCTTAATCTTGTAGTAACGTTTTCAATGGCTCGATTAAGATTCTTGTCTCTTTGGGATGAATCTGCTGTCACTTCATCCCTTTGCGCTTTTTCTACCACTTCTTTCTCTTCTTCTACCACTTCGAAGGTACTAGCACTCTCTCATTTGGTTCAACAAGCCGTGTCATTCTCGTAAAACACAAATGGATCCGTTACTTTGGCACGTTTCGTATGACTCGTGTCTCTGTGTTTTCGGCTGACTATACACTTTCGCACTTTCGAATGTCTACGATGCACTATATGTATATATGCATACACATATATGAATGGTCATTTTTATATGAAAAGATATTTACAGGTAAAAGCTCTATGCACGAACTATATCGTATCAGACGTGCTTCGACTTATCAGATGCACGATGCAGGTTACTTATAGGCGGGTATCGCAATGTATGACGGAGTTGCAATTTTTAATGGCCTTTGAATGTAGATTATGCGATTTTGTGTTTGATGTTGTTTTATGTCGCGAGTATCCTCTGTGGATGAACACTCGCGATATTTTGAAATAAATAATGTTTACCGTTGATTAATAGTGAGTTGAAATTCATTGTATGTAACTTGCTTCGCACATAGCTCCCTATCTAGATTTTCCATTGAGAGAATCCCTCGGGCGTAGGAACACGAGAAGTGATAATCAGATCTACACACATAATAAATACAGACACATATCCCTACCCTCGTAAACTATAAACCAACTCTAATATTTATGACGTAGGATATATGTCTCTCATATTGTGCACACCACTATTTAAACGCAAGTGTGATATCGCAAGTATGATGTCGCACCTGCTAACAAATTCTCCTACTTGGTTGTCCGATCAGTTCGATTGATAGCGCAAACGCATAGCTTGAGCGGATATAGTATAGATTGACTCTGAACGGAATATAATTGGTGTATTAATGTTTTTGACCGTGGATTCTTGACCCATGTAATATTCTAAAAAAATAAAAAATCGATGAGATGCTGCTGCCACCTGTTGATCATTCTTTATACGAATGCGAGGTTCTCTATATTACAGCTTCAGATACACTTCCTCAAATCGGGAAAGCTCGAGTAGAGGGCCAGTGATTTCTGAATACTGTCACTGGATACTGGTGGTTCTACGTGTACTGGGGATAACGCCGATACTGTGAATGCAGGGGTTGTGTGGAAGAGTGGGATTACTGGCGAGGCAGGGGAAGCTGGGGAAGCTGCTGACAAGGCAGGAGAGGATGGGCATGTTAGAAATGCTGGAACTACTGGGGATGGATCAGCGGTTGTGAGGATGGTGATGCTACTGTGGATACTGGAAATACTGGAAACGCTAGAAATGATATATAGTGATGGCTATGATATGCTGGCATTGATGGCGAATACCTGGGTTATTAACAGGGTAATTAAAGATCGTTGTATTCTGAGTATGGTTGAAATATTGGGAATTGAGGTAGGCTGTGAATATCGGGGGATGCTGGGTTTATTGGTAATGCTGTGGATGGTGGAAATAGTAGGGGTGCTAAGGATATCGATGATATGTCGCACGTTTACCCGGCGCGATAACAGATATTGATGTCTGTCGCGCAACAACATGAATGCACCAAAATCGATGTTTACATAATTTCTACAACACCTGTACCATATACTATGGCAATTTTAGTTCCGTTTACTATAGATGACAGCCTAGATATACGTAATATACGCATGCTTGCTCGAACTAATACCCGGCGCACACTGTGAGATTCGTGCTGAGCACGAATCTCAACGTGTGCGTGGTCGATTTATGTGAGTTGTCGGTCTCGCGAGGCGGTGAGAAAAATATCTATCTTGTTTGATAATTTTGGTCTCGCGAGGCTGAAAACTCAGTGCGGAGTATGTGAGACTCCTGCTCACACTCACTTAGTGGCGGCGCATTTTGATTCGTTCTGACTCAGTGACGGCGCATTTTGATTCGTTCCGCCATTTTGCTCAGCATGAATCTCACCGTATGCGGCGGTGTGAAATTCCTGCTGAGCACGAAATCCACGCTCCGTGCTCAGCACGAATCTTACCGTGGGCGCCGGGCATAAGCTCCTTGGTTTATGGGCTCCTAATTCACTTATATATTGTTATATTGTTATATTGTTATATTGTCGATTATAAATCTCTCGCAGTGTCAACGACATTGTTCAAGTAAAACAACCGTATAGTGTGTGATTCTAGTTTCTGCATCAGTACTATGACACTGCAAATTTGTGCACGGTATTTGGCACTAATTTACGCTACACGGAATACCATCGTAGAGACTTGTTTCGCAGCAATATAGCATTACATCAGTATAATGACCCTCTTATATCGACTAGATGACGATGCAGTATTTCCTGGGTAGATGGTAATCAGCTCTCAACTCTCAAGCACACGTTTTCGCAATCGTGAGTGTATTCTAACAGTTCAGGAGGGATAGGAGGAAGTAGTGTATATTACCATACGAATTATAATTACATACAATTTTGAGTACATTATACACCTGTTTTGGGCATACTCTCTGGAGCAGTTATATATAAAAATTGTTGATCCCAATGACTCACTTCAGTAATTGCGATGCAGAAAATCTTATAAACCTAAAAGCGTGCGATAGATTGTAGGGTCAGACTCAGACATATTTGTCTACATGCCTACTATCTGCTAAGAGAACTCAAATTTTGTTGAAATTTCGTATTTAAAAAAGAGAGGACATACTTAGGATTAGAGTTCTATAAAAGATTTTTCAACGCATTATGCCTACCTTCCTCACATAGTTAGAGGGAGCCCAATTTTCTTAGCATTTCGATACCTTACATTCCCGCTGCCGTAGGTCGGTGCTAGTGTCACGCATGAGAAATAGCGCATGTAACTAAACAAAATAAATTCACACATCATTTTGAGGACATTATACACTTGCATTGAGCTCACAATCTGAAGCAGTAAAATATGAAAAATGTTGATCCCAATGACTCACTTCAGTAATTGTAAGGCGAAAAATCTTGGAAACTTTCTGAAAGCGTGCGATAGATTGTAGGGTCAGACTATTCATGTCTACTATCTTCTAAGAGAATTCATAATTGATAGAATTGTGTTATTTAAAAAGAAGAGGACATACTCATGACAAGGTTTCTATGAAAAATGTTAACCTCATTTTTAATTTTATATAATAGGAGAGTGCCCAATCTTCTCACCATTCCTGTTCCGTATATTTTTCGTTGCTGCCGGTCTGTTACAGTGTTGCACATGAGAAATAGTGTATGATGATGCTAAACAAAATATATTCATTTATAATTTTGTTGATATTATATCATTATAGTGAGTACATACCCAAGAATAGGTACATACGAAAAACGTTTAATTACAATGACTCACTTCAGTAATACGGCAGAAATTCTTTAAATCTCTCTATAACGTACCGTAGATTATTAGCGGTTATACATATCTACTACCTGCTGTAAGGAATCAAATTTTTATAGAATTATGAACTATTAAATGGAGAGTACACCTGGAAAAGGTTTTAAACAAAAAACAATGTATGACGCATTGTCTAACTACTAACTTATATGTAGCCTGTCAGATCAAAACATGCCGTAGGACTTCAATGTCTATTCTGAGTTATAGGTGATTTTTCACCTAAACGTAGTAAAAAGTCGATTTTCTTTTTTGTCATAAATACCTTTAGTAGTTATCCATGTTCGATGTTACTATGTCTGGTATGCGCATGCAAACATCTATGCTCAGCTTCTCAGCTCTATGGGAAGGTATTTTTTCAGATTTTTGTGTATCAATTTTTATACAGATAATTAATGTTTTAATTACCCTAATTAATTACCTGAATTACTTACCTTAACTGTAAGCTACCATTTTCGTACTTCTTACAGTGGATGGTTATTATGTCTGGTACGTGCATGCAAAAATTCACGTGTCTAGCTGTATATATATGATAACAGGGAGCCAACCCCATCTAACATCCCGATTCTCCGCAGCACCAAATAATATCAACGTACAGTTTTCGTTGCTGTCGGTTGTCGTGCATGAAAAGTGGCGTATGATGTCATTCGTTTTAACTGGAGGGTCAGTGTCAATGACGTTTTTTCGTTCTGGAATGTTGTTCGCGAGCAATTCGCCGCTGACGTTGCCTAGGCCAGGGGTCAAGTGTCCCCTCTGCCCCACCTAGCTAAGATTCTGGTGTGTGTTTGTTTGTATGTATGTGTGTGTATTTGAGTGTGTGTGTGTGTGTGTGTGTGTGTGTGTGTGTGGCGTTGAGTGTCGCGATGGCGTACGTACTAGTGGCGTAT